TTAGCATTGGGTTAAAACTCTCTATGACGAAAGGCCATATCTATCATTTCATGTATTCAATTCCAACCTGAAAAAGATGATGCAAAAAATGAAGAACATGAAGGGGAAGCGGATCAAAGAGAATACACAACTCTAGGTTCTATCAAGCTGGCATCCCTTTCAATATAGTGATGTTGGAGAGTTTTAAACATATGTTAGAAGCTATTATGCAATTTGGATAGGATCATAGACCCCCATCTTCTCATGAGTTCAATTCTCTACTTGAAAGAGAAATAGAGGTATAATTGAAATTATTAGAATTTTCAATTTGGAGGTTCACTTTTGAAGTTTATCTTGAAATTAAATGTGCAAATCACATTTCTTTTAAATTTTATATCAATTTTAAATTATATATATGAGTGCTATAGCTTATAAAAGTATTGTTTCTCATTGCACTTTGCACAATGAAGCAAGAAATACCCTAACACATCGCAATGCACTACGAACAATGCTATCTTTCACATGGATGATCTTTAGCCAATTCGTCTAATCTTGGATTTCTTCAAAAGGCTATAAAGAGAAGAATTATTTTAGTTGGGCATAAAATATTAAAAAATATATAAAAATCAAATGACAGGGATATTTGATTTAAGAAAGAATTGGACTACCCCATCAAATGCTTAGTATCTAAAATGAGAACTTTTTAAGACAAGTCAGGCTTAAATTACTTAATGAGTTATCTATAGAAAGAATATGATATATATATATATATAGTGTGTGTGTGTGTGTGAGAGAGAGAGAGAGAGAGAGAGAGAGAGAAGTTGCACATTGAAGCCAAAAAAAATCCATGGCACTTTGAAAACTATTCTTACCTTTCATATTGACAATCTTTTAGCCCAATCAGCCTAGTCCATGATTTCTTGAAGCAGCTAGGAAAAGGGGAATTATTGGGGGGCTGTGAGCACCATAAACAGAGAGTTTGGAATATGAAAAAATTATAATCAAATGACGAAGATATTTGACTTAGGAAGTTCAGCATCATAAATGAGACATTTTGAAGACAGATCAGGCTTATCTAGTCACCTAGCTTTCAACTCATATGGGGGCAAGTTCCGTCCCATAAGTGGGAGAATTAATGTAGACAAAAAGAGCTTGAAATATGCTCTACAGATTTGTCTACTATTGATATATTGCCAAAAAATTTGATAATATCATAGTAGTCAATTCCACCAACAAAGAGACGCTAACAAGTATATCAGTGCAGAAAGAAATAAGTCAAAAGTTTGTGAGTAAAAGGAAGTTAAATAATTAATCAATAGTAATTTATTGGATTTTTTGGAACTCTAGCCGCTGCAATCAATAAAATGAGGGATTGTAAGCATTTTCAGTAAATAAAGAGTTCTCTTATTTCTCATCAATTCATACCAATTTTCTACATGGTAATCATTATCAAATCAAGAATCAGGCATAGTTTTAAGCTCATCTCAAGCAGGCTTGAAGACCTCCACCAACCATCCATCTATTCATAATCCATTAATTCACAACAAAGCCATCCACAAATTAGTTTATAATTTTCCTAGGCTCCTTGCTCGGCCAACAAAAATAGCCGCGAACCTCGCTCTCACAAGCTTCGCTCTCACAAGCTTAAGGTTCCCTCTTTCCATGAGGTAGATTGGATTTGAAATTTAACCAGATTTTCCCTGAAATTACTTTCAAGATTTATTTATAGATCTGAGATCATCTACTTTTGAAGGGGGAAGCATGATCCAAAGAACTATAACAAGCAACTTTTGAGTTAGGTTTTCATATGTAAGCAAACCTTGACCATCGACATTTCCCACTATCACTTTCGGGTTACATTCATGTATTTTTAATATGAAAAGAAAAACCTTTTTGACTTCTCATTGAAGTGTTCATGAATCTTTAATAAATGGAGTTCCTTCATCTAGCTGTAATCACACACCCCTCCCCTAACTCGTATACAAGGAGAGGCAAACTATAGGCTTGAAGCATGATTAGAGTTTATAATCCTGATTCTAATGAAGAAAACTATTTTGTTTCAAAATCACAATTTTTTTGTTCTCTTCTAATAAGTGTGCTTATAATAATTCCTTTCCAAATAGATCACATATAAGCTCTTCTTCCTCTCTTGATTGAAGATATCAAGCAATCTCCTTGGGTGCACACAACTTCCATGGAAGAGTTATCTCACATCTTTGCCAATTCACTACCCTCTTTCCATGTAGATCTCTTTCCTGACTTTTTCTCATTGCATATAAGAATTATCCAAGACTAAATGAAGGACAAGATAATTACAAAAGCATAAAACGACTTACAAGGGGTGCGCTTGGTTAGGACTTAAGTGGAATCCTATCAATTGATGGTGTGGGACGAGAGACCCAACAGAATCAAGGACCTCGCTAGTACAAAAACTGATTTTTTTGCCTGTCCTCAGTTTACTTGTTGGTTCCGTCGGAGAATATCTATTTGCAAACCTTAAATAGTATCAAATCAGCTTTCATCAAGCAAGTTCACCAGTGTATTTATTCACAAGCAATCGTACAATGAGAACATGTTCCCTCATGGAACCTATTTGCATATTATACAACATTCACTTCTGTATTTATTCAAAAGCTTCCATCATGGAACCTATTTACAAAAGCTTCCATCAAGCAAGTTCACCAGTGTATTTATTCACAAGCAATCGTACAATGAGAACATGTTCCCTCATGGAACCTATTTGCATATTATACAACATTCACTTCTCATAGAACCTACTTATTCCAACATGTTTTATTACAATATCAGTTCACTTTTGAACAACCTATTGATTCATACAAAGATGTACTCAATTTGGTTAAATATTAGGGAATGGATTTGATAAGAAGTTAATTGTTCCTATTAAGAAATAAGAATGATAAGATATAAATAGATCCTTTAGATAAGTTTGCCAATATTTAAACAGTTCCTTAAGAGAACAGGTCCATTTGGAGTATTTCAACATGATTCTAAAAGACCCTACAATGGAAGAAGCTCAAAGAGATACAAATAGTACCAAAATAGCAGAATAGAATATATGTAAGAAGATCCAACATATTCAAAAAGTAGAAATACAACAATAGATAAGAGAAGATGTTTTGTCCAACAATAAATATGAAGATTACGACATTTATACATAACTTTTGGGAGGCTTTACAAACGAGAGTTTTCAAAGTGCACATGGTAAATTAAGTAACAAGTGACCTATAAAATTATACATAGGAATGAATCAATGACGATAAATGAAAATAACAAATGATCCATCAAACTATATGTGAACAATAACAAATACACAGACAAAATCAAGTGACAAGCAACTAAATTTAAGGACAGTCAAAATAATATCGAGCATTAAATTCTCATAAACAATGGACAAAACAATTATTACTAATATTATTTGAGTCTTTATGCCATCATTTGTTACCAAGAGAGCTAGACCCGCAATACATGTTTCCAAGTTTCAAATTAAAAGATCAAAATCTTGAGTATCCAACATTAAAACTCTTACAAACTGAAACTAAGCAAGGCAATAAACGCAACTTCTAAAAACTAAACAAGGCTTAAGTTGCAAGAATGTGAGCATGCAAAAAAAAGGAAGCTGGTAAGGGTCTTAACTGCAAATATTATATTATATGAAAAATAATGAAAACAATAAAAAAAAAATAATGAAAACAATATCATATTGGTTCAAAATTTTCTCTCCTAAACTCCCAAGTAATAACATATTGTACTGCTTCAATGTTCAGCGTTGGAGTTAAAAATTTCACAAGATTAAGAATGATGACATTCATATTTCATTTGAAGTGATCTATTACATGATCAAACGAGTATCAGATGTCTCATGATACAAGTAATAATGTGTATATCTTGAGCCAAATGTTTTAATTAATTAATGTGTGAGTGTGTGAGTTTGTGAGTGTGTGAGTATGTGTGTGTGTGTATATTCTAAAGATGAAATACACATCTGGTACAGATTTTTAATATATCATAATTCTATTGCAAATAGCATAAATGCATTTTTCTATCCTTACATTTCTAAATACTAACTGGTTGATAAATCAAAAAACTTCTAAGAATTAATATTGAAGCAACAATTGCAAACATTCTCAATTTTAACCGACCACATCTTACCCATTTACGAAACTTAACTAATATAAAGAGGCTCTGTAAACAAACGTATGGCTTATCAACTCACTTATATAGGAACCAGATTCAACAATTTGAAGCCTCAGAAAGACATTTGCACTGAACTTGACATGATTTGTTAAACCTTTCAAAAAAAAATTAAGCAATAAACGGAAAGCATCAACAGTATTGGGGAAATGTTTAACATAGCCACAAGTTCCGCAAAATAAAAGTAATATCATTCCTTTTACTAGAAGAATATATCAGATAAAATTTCCAAAATAACATTAAAAAAAACAATTCATATAACATGCAGGCTTTCAAAGTTTCTAAGCACCTCTTCCAAATCCCCTTTTTCGAGTTTTTTAACCAAACTGAAATCAATTCAATGCTACGAACCTGAACCAGATAATAGAAGATACGCAGCCCCTCTGGATCTTTGCTGCTCTGGACGTCCACGAGGGACCCAATCTTCGATGTGGTGAAAGAGATGTGCTCGTTGCCCATCACAATTTCTAATTCCTGCCTCCCTACCCTATCCGGCTCTGGCCAGTTATTATCATCTTCTTTCATTATCTGCAGGTAATAGATTTGTTAAACCTTTCTAAAAAAAATTAAGCAATCAACGGAAAGCATCAACACTATTGCGGAAATGTTTAACATATCCACAAGTTACGCAACATAAAAAGTAATATCATTCCTTTTACTAGAAGAATATATCAGATAAAATTTCCAAAAATAACATTAAAAAAAAACAATTCATATAACATGCAGGCTTTCAAAGTTTCTAAGCACCTCTTCCAAACCCTCTTTTTTGGGTTTTTTAACCAAACTGAAATCAATTCAATGCTACGAACCTGAACCAGATAATAGAAGATACGCAGCCCCTCTGGATCTTTGCTGCTCTGGACGTCCACGAGGGACCCAATCTTCGATGTGGTGAAAGAGATGTGCTCGTTGCCCATCACAATTTCTAATTCCTGCCTCCCTACCCTATCCGGCTCTGGCCAGTTATTATCATCTTCTTTCATTATCTGCAGGTAATACAAACAATGGCATCAAAACCCTAACTCTCATCAAAACAAAGCCATCTAGGAACAATGCAAATCAACGACCTTCCCAAACACGTCACATAGACAATCCGAAATAGCGTCAGCAACCCTAACTTAAAACAAGAGATCCGCAGCCGTCTTGGGACAAACCAAAAACGTAGAAAAGAAAGGAGTTGTGAGGGAAAAAATACCTCGCTCTCGGAGATGATGCGGCGGCACTCGCGGAGGACGGCGGGGGTGAGGAAGACCTCCTTGCGGATCATAGTGTCGTTCTTGTAGTTGGAGTTGTTAGCGTAACGAAGTTTGCCATCGGGGCGGAACTCGAACTCCAGGAACTCGTGCCCGAACTTGCCCTTGTGACCCACGTAGTAACGGAGATAGAACTCGTCCTGATCGTTCCCCGCCATTGCTCTACTCTTCACCTCCTGCAAGGCTTCTTTTGCTTCTGGTTTTCCCTCGCGGCTGGAAGCGGGGCAGATACTTATGATCCTGCGGCAGAGTTCTTCTTTTCGCCCTCAGAGAAATAAAAAACCAAAAAATAAATATATTTTTACTATTTTTTATTTTTTTATGCCAAATATCATTACGGTGGTGTATTTCATCAATTAAAATTTTTAAATACAGTTGAAATATAACAAAAAATTTACACATTTAATTGCAATTATTAATTTTTGAATTTTTAAAATTGAAACTATAGTATCAAAATTATTCTTTCTAAATTTTTCAATGTATGTAATGGTTAATCAAATGATCTTAACAATTTTTTTAAATCTTTTATAATGTCAATTTTAATGCTAAAAAAATAAATTATTAATGTTGATGTTGTACTTATATTTCATGAAAATGTTAATTTTATATACTTATAATAATTTTCAAAATGGGAGAAGTTAAATACTTCTTATTCTTTTTGAGTCATTTTTTTAACCCTATATATACTATATTACGGCTATATATATATATATGGAATGATTTATCCACCTGTTGCAGAGGCTGATTAAGGGGGGGTCTAGGGGGGCACGTGCCAGTTGGTTGTATTGTTTGTCTAGCTTATTGTTTTAAATATAGTATTTTTTTATTCAAGCTTAGAGCAAATGTAGCTATTTTTTGGTGGGTACATGAAGCTGCTGCTATTTAGAGACTGCTAACTCTGATGCTTCTATTGTAATCAATTTCCAAGCTGTGTGCGCTGGTAAGTAAACTTAAATTCAACATTTCACACGGTTTTAGCGTCATAATCATTTGAGTTGTACTATAAGAATGACGAATAGCAAAATCATAAAAGAATACGAATAGTAATAGAATCATCAAAAGATCTAGAAGTAGGTTTAAAAAACCTTCTATATGATTCAGGCTTGTGAATTCCTATCCGTGAATTTAACTATTTTTAATATTCAATATGAAATTTGAAGGTTGTACTTGCAAAGAGGTTCATATTTTCCACACAATCATGGATTTCTTTAATAAAAAAAAAACTTTTGGGCCCCCCTATAAGAAGTTTATGGCTCCGACACTGACTTGCTGCCACCCCCAAAGAGGCATTTGGCACTCATGAGAAGAGGCACTCACCACCTCATGACTAGCACTTCATGGACTCTACTTTAGAGGCGTTGCCACTCGAGGGGAATCGAATGCGGGTTGGGGGGCACCCAACCGCGCTCGCCCACCAACCTAGCTAAGCAACGGTGGGTGCTTTATATAATTTCAACGCCTAGATTTTCCATCTCCTTATTTATGCATATAATAGTCGAGTGTTGATCCCACAGTCCTCCCTCTCTAATCTATATGGTCAATATCATAAGATTGATCCTTTGATTCATCCATGTCATGATTTGCTTATACAATAATAATATATTGAACTTCTTTGAATATATATATATATATTTTTTTAACTTCTTTGAATATTGTTAGATATAATCGATATAGGATTGAACATAGATTTGATCGATTGTTTGAATAAGATTCAAAGAAGTTCAACCAAGTCTATAAAACATCAAAGTTGGTTCAAATATTATTAAATTGTGGGTTGAGTCAGTTATGATGACTCATTGAATAGGCCAATCTTTTTTTTATAAGGATTGAATATATTTTAAACATGTTTTATAGATTATTATGATCATTTGATAATGATTTTATCAACATTCTAATGAAAAATGGTGTTCACAAGTAGTATCTATATTGAAATTTAAGGGTAGAGAGATTTAGAGTGGAGTGTGAAATTTGTTTTTGATTCTTAAAAAAAAATCATCACTAACATTCAAAAAAAAAAAAGAATGGTAGGAAATGTTATCATAATTTTTGCCACACACCAAATATGGAGACTTTGTAATTGACAAAAATGGAGAAGTTGATAGGAAGGGGAATAGTCAAGAAGTTCTTACAATAAACATAACTTAAAACTAATTTGCTAGATTTATGACTCAACTTATTAAAATGTAAGGGCATTTTGATCTAAATGGAACTTCCAAGAAATTTTTTTTTCAATTTTGAACATTATTGGGCTTGGGCTTATATATATATATATATGCTGGGGTTGAATCTCATAAATTTTAAATCTACTTTAGGGGCCATTTGATTAGTTTGAGAAATAATTCAGAGTATAAAGAATGCAGCGTAAAAGGATGTAATATATTGAAAATATTGTGGAGTTGTTTTAATAAGTGTAAAACAAATGTTGGTAGTTTCTTATTTTATTTGAGTTGAGTATATGAATACGTTGTAAAATCCAAACAATGATAGTAGCCAATGGCCGACGATCGGTAACAGTGGTGGCGGGCAATGAAGAGGACTGGTGGAAGGCGAAGATAGCAGGCGGTGGCGGCAACGATGAGTAGCAGAAGGTGGTGGAGGTGCAGGCACCGACGACAAAGTGGTGGTTGGCAAGGGGCAGAGGTGGGCGGTAGCAAAAATTAGTTGTGACAACAATGACAAACAATTTACGGTGTATTTGAAACTTGACCAAATCCAACGATTTCCAAGAAACTAAACTATATGATAAATTCCAAATACGTCAAAAATTTACTCTGCATTTCTTTTAGGGGTTATCTGGATGACTACAAATGGGTGCAAAGTATTTCAAATTTAGAAGTTTTGAGAATCTTGATATTTTGTTTGAAGTAAAATCAATGCAGCATAAAATTTTATTGCATTTGGAATTCACCATCTAATTCATTCTTTGATATATTTGGAATTCCTAAAATTTTGGTGAGTTCCAAATGCACGAGGAATTCATTATAATTGTTGCCGCACTCGTTGTCGTCGGCCGACCACCGCTCGACCACTAACACCATCATGTCGACCTCCATCTCCGGCCAGCTATTGTCACATCCCATAACTTAAATTTTAAAAAAATATATCTTTTATTTTTTAATAATAACAATCAGATCTATCTAATTGTCACAACACAGCTAGATATGACTTGAAAACACATAGGTCATATCATATCTAATTGTGGCAAGACTGACCTATTGATCTGGTTGGAAAATGATTGAAATAAAACTTTGAATTTATATATTACATAGAGCAACTTCTGAATGTAATATAAAACAAAAGACTACTAAATCTCAAAATAATTTTCTATAAATCATCAAAAATATATATACAATTATAAATCTATCTACAACAACGATTGACAATAGTGAGCATAATAAAATAAAAGTAAAGACTGTAAAAATTTAAAACTAACAAAAAATATATCTACAACACAGATCAGGGTGTGTTATTTAAAACTACTCACAATACACAACTGCGTTCCTTACACTTCCACTGGCTTTAAAAAATAGAAATAAGAGTATGAATTAGCTAACAGCGGCTCAGTAAACCTATTGCAGATAAAAAACAAAAACAATAAATGGAACTAAAAGAATTGAATAATATTGTATTGTAAAAGTATTGGTTGTTGGAAAATTGAGAATGAAACTAAAATAGAACTGAACCTCGAAACCAAAATGAATTATAAGTAGATATTCATTTCTTAACATGTAATTCCAACCCAAATTTTTGTAAATATTTGATAGGTTCATAGCATAATCCCCAATCTCGATAGCCCGCAAGCCCCAACATAACAGAATCCTATCCTCGGTCACCCATTTAGCACGGGCATAACAATAATTCCCACCTTGATCTCCCATCTAGTGCCAGCAATAAACGAATCTCGCCTCGGTTGCCACCTGACGCCAGCATAACGAAATCTCGCCCTCGTTGCCCACTTGACGCTAGCATAACAAACATCCAACCATTGTCTTCCACTGGTGCCAACATTTACAGAATTCCACAACTCGGGTCGCTTACTAGCACGATAGAGTATCCCATCCAAATGCAACATCACATCACATATTCCCATTTCATTAATTAAAGAATAATTTAGATAAATTCAAATATCAAACACTTCAATGGTAGGCAACATAAACACTCTAATATAAATTCACTGTTTTAAAATATAGCCAAATTATGCAGAGAATGTATAAAACCAGAGCATTTTGAGTTTTAATCTGATTCTAAAACAACTATATGAGATGTTAAAACATTTTTGAATATACAAATATTGATTGTTTTTTTTTAAAATAACTAAGCAAAATATTTTTTCATAAATATACTCAAAATATTCATAATCTCAAATCTCTATAACATATAAAAATATGTGTTAACATTTTTATCAAAACAAACTTATCCCCATCTTTTTTGATAATAAAAATACAATTTTGATCGAAAAAATAAAAAATATATCAATATTATTGAAAATTGAAACAGAAATTAGTAACCTACCTCGATATGTAAACAAATTTTTCTCAGCTGGACTAATTGACATAAATTGACTATATAACCGTCAACCCTAAGCTTTTCTTTCTTTCTCCTCACTTTTTCTTCTTTTTATGTTAAATAAATGGGAAAGATTAGTGCATGAGATTTTTATTTATTATATATTAGTTTTTATAATAAATATTAAAAGCGATGTAATGCAATTAAGCTGGTCATTTAATATTTATCATAAAATCATCTTATATTTTTAAATTTGCGAGATAAAAGAAATATGAAACAAATATATTTAAAAGTTAGTGTATACATATCACAAAATTAGCTATGTCAGGGCACGAATCTCGAGGGCAAAAACATAGTTGGAGACTTCAGAAAATTCAAATCCCGGGAGCATCCGAACTCCGTTTCAACGATCTTTACGTCAACTGAGCGGTCTCTGGAAATACGAACCCAACAACACCAAATGCGACCAATCCGCGCCCAAATAAGTCCGAATCAAAGAGTTCAAAGCGGTGTTGGATAGGTTCAAACCGGCAATTGAGTTACCAAACGGTCCTCACGATTTTGACGAGCCTTATACTCGAATCGATACGGCTCTGACGAGACAAATCCAAACGAGCCCAAGATCACTTAATTCCGATCATCATTAAGGCCTCCAACTGTGCCAACGACGGTGGCACGATCGTAGGATTCAATATCGGCCCGTCCATTTGCCACGTCCTATTCGCCTTGATCTCACACCTATTTACAGGAACCATGCCACT